AGGGCACTTATTTGGTAGTTCCTTTAACTTTTGTAACATGATTTAAGTTCCAAGCAAGGACCATTTATCCATTGGTGTCCAAAGAAGCAATCATATTAACCGTTAATGTGGTGATTGTGTCAAATAGATAACTCCTCTAGTGTTTTTGCATCCTTTGTGAAGACACGTTCACTTCCATCATTGTTGCACGATCATCTTATTCGAAACAAGCCACAGATAATTTTTTGACATTTGGAAAATAAATTCTTGGCATATCCAAAATTTCAGTCAAAAAAATAGCGAGATGCAAGGATTCCAATCCAATTTTTGTTATAGTTCTGTAATTAAGTAGATAAATTTCCTGATTAAAGTAGGTATCTAAGTTAAGATGATTTAAATTTCCAAACTTGTTAATGAACCTTTTGATCTCATCAAGCGAGCGAGACTGCACCACCGTATTTTCTAAATCCAAAATATGTTATTTTATTTGTAAGATCTGTAGTGAACGTCATTCACAATTGGTTTGCTGTTAGCACCCACATCACCAACAACATTTAAAAACATATTTAATACCTTCAATGTAGATAAGATATCAAATTCCTTAAGATTATTTTTTTGATTCAAAAATTGTGGTGATGTGACTTTTTTATACAATTCTAAATCTTCTTCCCATAACATTTGAAAATATTTTAAAGTCTTGCAGTCAAAATGTGGACAATTGAGGACGAAATAGAAAATTTTTCTTGATTCATGTTAACATTTTGGAAAATACTCAAATTTTCCAGTTGAACTGTCTGTTGGGATCAAAACTAGCTTAAATTTAATCAACAACTCTGCATAATTGCTGACTATTCATCCATGACTGATATGACTGATCACATCCTTGAATTAAATGAAAATGAGATATTTTTGGCAAAAGAATGAAATTAAAAAGTCTTTATACCTGTTACATACCAAAATTACAGCTTTTGAGCATCTTTGGAGGAAGATTTCCAAAAATATCAATTATTATCACTTCAGGGAGATCCTTTATCTTTATTGAAGCAATTTTATTTTAAATAATTCAGATTTCTTTTTTTGTGATTAAAACTTCAAATATTGCTATGATAAAATTTAACAAAATAAAAATGAAATCGAATTATTAAAAATTCCTCTTTCGTAATTCTCGAGCGATAACATCTTTACCAGTTATTTTTTTGTTCTTATTTCTTGCTTTTGGCACCATGAAAATGGTCTCGGTTCATTATTTGTTGCAGTTTTAAATTTCATCCTTTTTTGTTTCGTCTTGTAAATCCAACATAAAAGCGATGATAAAGTTAAGCAGAAGAAGAAGAATACGAAGCAAAAATCAGATTACACTCAAATCAACATAAACAATCATCATTATCATCATTATAAATGCTTTTTTCTCTCGCATGTGTGTATTTTGTGGGTTAAACGAAGCGAAAATGTAAAGAATTCCTTTTCTGATTGCACTTGCCAGAACTTATACTACTTGAACTGTGTACAAGGAGAAAATAAGATTGTTTGCAACCGTTTGCACAATGAAAAGTGATTTTTTTTCTGAGTTCAGATTACACGTGGTTGATCATTTTTATCTACAAAGTTTTCAAGTAAACACTGACTCTTCTGTATAGAATGCTTCTTTTTTGAAAATTGAAAGATGTGCTCAAAATTGAGCAATTAAATTATTCGGCAGCTACAGAAAATGACCCATCAGAGAATTGTTTTAAATAACAAACTGTCGGAAACATTTGAAACTTAAGTTTGAACTTAGTTTGGCTTATTACTTAATATTTTGATTTAAAGTAATTGTATCGTGAACACATTTGGGATGATATTCACCAAATATCAATTTGGTAGCAATTTTTGAATCAGTAATACAATTTAAATCTAAATTGATCCAAGTTATATTTTAAATTAGATTAAAAAGCTTATATTAAGAAAATCAAGACAAAACAAGAAATTAGAAATTTCTAAATTGAGCTGAAAATTGAAATTGAATCATTTTTTAGGCATGTACATGTAAACTTTCTCGCAAAATCAAATCGTTTCAATCTACGAAAAATCTCAAGCAATTTAGAATGTAGCATGATTGAGAAAGTTAAGTTCATGTAAATGCCGATTCTACATTGAGGAAAATTATTTAATTCATTTAAGAGGGAGTTGTTGGTAATAAGTATATTTTTTTATCAAGGCGTGGAAACTGATACTGGGTTATAAGTCCAGATACAAAAATCGTGCACAGAAAATTATAAGTCCAGGAAATCAAAGTCAATAAAGGTTTATAAGTCCAGATACATATTGCACCTGGACTTAAAAACCTCACGTGCAGTTTATAAGTCCAGGTACAAATACAGCTGGAATTATAAACTACACGCGAGGTTTTTAAGTCCAAGTACATTTTATATCTGGACTTATAACCCAGCATCGTGGAAACTCAGGATTAATCCTGAAAAATCCCAAAAATCCTAAAAAATCCCTGAGCCAATAAACATGGAAATGTGAAATCCCTTTTAGATCCCTGATGCATTTGATGAATAATTTCGGGATTTAAAAGGGATTTTACATTTCCAAGTTTATTGGCTCAGGGATTTTTTTAGGATTTTTGTGATTTTTCAGGATTAATCCTGAGTTTTTATGTCTTGTTTTTTATTCAGTATTTATAACGAATTGTTATTTAATGTCGCTTTGTCTGATGTCACTTTTGATAAATAACAACCTAATTCATGCTCCCTCAAACTTATTAAGCACCCGAAATTTGAAAATAAACCGTTTCGCTTGATTCTAAATTTTCGTTGTTAAAAACAGTTAAAAACAGCTTTACCTCTTCCCTTAATCTACACCTCTGTCCACAAAATTTGATGATTTTTAAGCACGCGTTTTTGGTTCCAGTGCCTACATGGTAGAACTGACCGAAAAAATATAATATGCCATTTGATGCTTAATTTCAATCCCTCCAGTTATGTTATAAACACGCTATGCGTGGAAGTTAATGATTAAAAAGATTAGTGCAGTTTTATAAAACATTACATAGGTTTTCCATCACTTTGTCCCCGAACATACAAAGAGCATGCTCAGAAAAGTGAGCATATAAGTGAGTCTACTCAAAAATTATACTCATGCAAGCTCATTCAACTGAGCATGCTCAGGAGTTCATTACGAATGTACTCACTTTATTTTTTTGCAAAAAATTTATAAGCTCACGTGAGTACATTCAACGAGTGTACTCATGAGAATATTAAGAACATACTTATGCGAATATACTCGTATAAGTGCACTTACTGAACATTCTCATGAGAATATTAAGAATATACTCACTTCTGTGTGACATAATTTTTTTACGTTCTCATATGAGTGCACTTACTGAACATGCTTATGGGAATATTAAGAACATACTCATGGGTATTTACTCTTCTGAATACACTTTTTTAACATACTCATGAGAATATTAAGAACATACTTATGTGAATACACTCGTATGGTTGCACTTACTGAACATTCTCATAAGAGTATTAAGAACATACTCACTTCTGTGTGACATAATTTTTTTACGTTCTCATATGAGTGCACTTACTGAACATGCTTATGGGAATATTAAGAACATACTCATGGGTATTTACTCTTCTGAATACACTTTTTTAACATACTCATGAGAATATTAAGAACATACTCACATCTTTGTTACATTTTCAAAAATGTCGACCAACTTAAAATCGAACTTAGAATACATATTTATGTCGACTTGCACAAAAATGTATTCTTTGTTCGATTTTAAGTTGGTCGACGTTTTTGAAAGTGTCGACTAATATAAAAATGTATTCGATGTTCGATTTTAAGCTGGTCGACATTTTTGAAAATGTCAACTTACATAAAAATGTGTTCTAAGTTTAATTTTAAGTTGATTGACATTTTTCATAATATGTTCTCACGATCATGCTCTGATCAACTCAAATATTTCATAAAAATATAGTTCTACTAAGTAGCGTATCAGACTTCAAAGAACTTAGTTTGCCTGTAATAATATAATAATTTAAGTATAAGTTTTGCCATATAAAAATTATTATAAATTTACAGAAAATTGCTCCAAGGAAAAGTGTGAGGTTAAGCAACGCAATAGGTTTTTCTACAAGGATGGGTGACCGGTTTTTAAAACTTTCTTCTTAAGTATTTGAGATAAAATGTTAACAATAATTTCTAACCCTTCCAAAATTATTCACAGAATTATCCTTATAAAACACAAATTTAGCTTAATTAATTTTTTTGAATTTTGTGACTTTAACTGATTGCACTCATGCATGTGCTCAGATGAGCATATACTCATAAATAAACTCACTGAGCATATATCTTTTGAGTATCTTCATGAGTATAAGCTCTTTGAGTATGTTTATGAGTATATGCTCTTTGAGAATGTTCATAAGTATATTCAATAAAAAATGTTGCATTACAAAAATGTTGCGTGTGGCATGTTGCCTTCTCATTTGAGTATGCTCATGAGTTTACTCAGTGAGCTTAATGCATGTCACATAGGAATGTGCTCACTGAGCATACTCAAAAAGGTACCGTGATCGCATCACTTTAATGTATGAAATGAGCACATTTTCACAAAAGTATGCAAGCTCACAAATAATGTGCTCTGAGTATACTCATTGTATGTTCGGCGTCAGTACCTGTTTTCAACAAAGTTGCTAGTTATAGACTGTTATGATAGTCTAAAGTATAATTTACTTGTGATGAAACAGTATTATGTGCATAACTTGGTACTCATTGAAATATTTTTCAAAAAATATATCTCTTTTTAATTGACTTTTGGTCAAAAAAGTACCTTATTCACATTATTAAATTCCGTTTGATATTTAAAATTAATTTTATGCGAAAAAGAGTTTCAGATTTTAATATAATTGCTGTCTGTAGAAGAGCAATGCGTCTATAAGTATGTAGAATCAATGGATGTAAGACTTTAATACTTGAAAGATTGAAAACAGGCGGATAAACGAACATAATAGATGACATGATTTGAATTTTTCCGTTGAATTGCAAAACAAAAGTCAGGTTTCAAGAGTGATTTAGAGGCACAGCTATTTTAATTAAGATTGTTTTTGTAAAATATTATCAAATAGTTATCAGGTGAATCGCATAAAGGTGTAATTATATGATAAATGTAAGTCTACAGAGGAACGAGCAAATTTGTCGACATTTAGAATTTGACCTTTTGTTGTCATTCAAATAAGAGAGATACAGAAAATTAAAAGTTCCGAAATTTTTGACTGATAACTTAATTATTGCTTCGTTTAATTTGTGACAAAAGCTTAAAATGTAATTATTAAATTGTAATTAATTCAATTTTATGTTAATTAATGAGTTTGTGGTGGAGAAAAAGTTATAAAAAGTTTGCAATCTAATTTGAGTGAAAAAAATAATATTTTTGTTTGTTTATTTGGTGACCGACCGAATGAACTGAATTGACAAAAAGATAACATAAAAGATATATAATCAAGTGATGTGTGAAGCTATAATGTATTAATGAACATTTATCTACGAATTAAATTGTGACATCACAGATTGACTTTATTTTGAATAACTCAAAAGTTCCTCGAACCATAACGATAATTTTCTTTACTTTTTTTGCTCCTACAACAACAAACATAATCGGATCAAGAGAACGCAAGCAACGAGAGAAGATTCATAGCGAAACTGCACACATATATTCATTTTTTGCATTTCTGTCATCGACATTTAATTGAAAATTCAGTTTCTTCTTTCATTCTCGGAATAATATCAGTTTGCTGATCATTTTTGGTACATCCAGTGACTTCGTTTTTATATTTCCAAAATAATAAGCATCGTACGTTTCGATTCTAAAGCTTTTATATTAATTTTATTGTTACTTCAATTTTCTTTTTCTACTGTCCTACTTTACAAGCACTAAGACATTTAATTAAAGTCTATTATCAATTACAATTCGAATTAACTTATAGTCGGTCTGTTGAGTAGTAAAGCAAAAAAGTACTAATAAATCTAAAATTTTCGGCTATTACGTGACCCAAAAAAAGTGTGAAATGAGCTTCTATAATACGTAGAAAAGGAACTAAGCTTAATCCTTAATATCTTTAATCTCAACAAAAACCTTTTCCTTAACACAGGAATTTTGTATTGACGCAAATCAGCTAAACAGTCAGTCATTCAACGTGTGCGCTATTATATTAGGATTCCTTTTGGAGATTCGGTGAGTGCTTCAATTCATAATTTACTTTAATTTCTTTTATTACCAATTTAAAGTTTCATTTCAACGACCTTTCCGTGAACTTGATTGGAATTGAAATATTATTACTGAATGAATGAGATATATACATATGAGAATCAAATGAGAAAATGTGATAGAAAAAAAATCTTACACGCGTGTCGTGATTAAATTTTTTTCCTGAGTATCTTTAGATGTTTATGCTCGTAAGTTTCCCTTTATTTTTTTTATTTTTTGAGGATATGCTTGCGTTAATCCTCAATATTATTGTTCTCATTGAGCATGGTATTCAGTTCTTTTCGTGTGTTCTGAAAATCATTCATAGTGTGTACAACGTAGTAAATGACAAAAAAAAAAAAATAACGGGCAAGAAGAAGAACAAATGTATTTTTGGGGTGTTCTAGCGTGCGCGTGGCATTGCTTTGGTTTTCTTCTTCTTGTTCCTATAAATATATCCTTCACCATTCATTCCTTGGAAAGACGAGAAGTAAAAAAAAGTGAACATTTATAATTCAAGACGACAAGAAAATTACTTTTAATGAGGATAGATAGCACTGCACAGCATGATCAAAGCCTCAATTAAAATGAGTTGTTGAAAATTATTTGCAAATAAAAGTGAAATTTTCCTTTTGAATCCTTTTTTGTGTCAGAATTGATGCTTTCGGTGAAATTTAATAAGCATCTTCTTTCAGTTGTAAATGAAAATGTAAAAAAATTTATAAAAAAAAATAAACGAGGCACTTTAATTTTTCCAATGGAAATGCCATAGTGACATTTGATGACATCATAGGTCACAGGTTACATAAATGTTCCTGCTCTAGTTCTCTCAAAAAATTGAAATAAAATGGTTCTCATTGATTTTTAAAATTTATAGCTTAGTTATATCCTAGATTGATCAGAACGATAAGGGGTAAGGGATGTGGAGGCTTACAATGATGATTCTGTCAATGCAATAAAAAGTGTTCGTGTATTATTTGGTCAGGAAACAAACTAGTGCATTCGAAGCTTTCTTATTAGACCTTAATTGGAATCCTGTGACATATTTATTGGGTGGGAAAATTCTAGGATTTATAGTATTAATGCTGTTTACTTAGGAATCACACAACAATGTTAAGACATGACAATTGAGCAAAGTATTTACAAATGTCTTTTGTCTATCAAGATATTATTAAAATGATTTGTTGGAACTTGATGGAAAAGTTTCAGTTATCAATAATCAGCACTATTCTTTTGGTATGAATTTCACTATTAGCGGAGGCAGAATGTTCTCCAATCTTCTTATATACAACAAAAATAAGGAGTCAGAAAAATCAAACAAGAGATTACACATGAAAAACAACAGTGAATTGCAATAGGTGATAAGAAAGGTCTTTATCGCAAAAAAGAGTAAATGCATTTATTGACAACAAGGGTTTCTTATCACCTAAATGTGTGACTGATTTATATGTTTATTTGCTTTTAAAATGCTAGTGCCAGTGAGAAATGAATGAATTAAAATGAATGAGTCGAAATTCTCCTCCGTATTGTGCAGATAATTAATTTTATTTTCATTTGATTTGCTATTCTTACTTCTCTGCCCGAATACAATCGCAAATATAATAATTTTGTTTGTTTTTATTTTTTTTTCGGCTGCCGATATGAATTCTATATATACACAATATCATCTCTCTCCCCACGCAAATTCAAGCGATTTCCCACGTTGCGGTCTTATGACTTTCCTCTTTTTCTCCTCTCCTTTTGAAAATGTTCTGTTTTGTCACAAAATCTTTTGCGCGAATGAGAAGCAAAAAAAAAGTAGTCAGTATTGCGATTTATTTTTCATCAAACGGCTTAAGAGACAATTTAATTTGAGGGAAAATAAAAGAAGTCGACAAAAAAAGAGAAATCATTGAACGAGTTAAGTATAAATAAATCCATACTCGTGATAAAATAGTAAAGAATGTCTCAATTTTAATTGAAAATCTTTTAGTTCCTGGACAGTTGAAATCATTAAAATGTGATTAGAGGTCACTCGTGCTATGCCGGTGATGTGTGTTTTATTTGTAAATTATTTTGTTTACGCTTCCTCTTGATAATATTGGTAAAATCAACAATAAGTTCGAAAATATGCTATAGAATTTGCTACATTCTATTAACTCTATAATTGTGTTATCTGAATCACTATAATCTAAATTGTCTATTAATTTGGCATGTGTCAAAATCAGTGACAGTGGGTCTAGAACTTTTTTTTGGATACAGACATTAGCTAGATTGAATCTATTTTGCGGATAACATTGAAGAAGTGAACAAGTGAATAAAAAAATATATATAAATATCTTAGAGGTTGAAAGGATATGATAAATAGTCGACACGGTGACTCCTCTCAATGGTATATTAAAACTTTGTGATTTGAAAAAATAGTTTTTTGCTGAATAAATGACAATCACTTATCCGTGCCATTGACTGAAGCGTAAACAAAAACACCTCAAACTGGTTATTGACTCATAATCAAGATTATAAACAAAACTAATATAAATTTCGCACATGTCGGCTTGATCAGCCAAAGACCAAATATTTTTCTAAAATATTTTCGCGTGTTGGTAAAATTTAAATTTAGATTTTATGTTGTTTTCAATTCTCGCATAGCCAAATTTAATTCTTGAGTGAACTAAATATATATGCACTCGACAAATTTAAATAAACGGCTTAAAATAATATTGTCGAGAAGAGAAAAGTGTAAATTTACCAACAGATTTTTACTGCAAAGTGTATTATGTTCTGAATTCGTCAGGCAGGACGAATTTTTTTTAAGAAAGTATGAGGCTGTAATTAGATGTAAACGGCTTCAAGAGTCAATGAAGGTTTCGAAAATCAAGAACTAAGTTAGAGTTATAGCATAGTGTCCTCTAAACAGCAACACCGTTGATGTTTAAAAATTCCAAGAAAAATATTTATCGATTTATTCATGGAACATTTCGAACATTCTTGAATATTCCACAATTAACTTAAATTCGATAGGTTAATCAGCCCTCAATCCTCAAAAGAAATTTATGCTTCATAGACATTTTGATTCATATCTCAAGACTAACATTTGCCACTTTCCAAAACTATCATTAAAACTCTAATAATAAGATAAAGTTGTGGCCATATATACAATCATCCATGCTGAAAGTCTAACACAGACTTTTGTTATCAAAAATACAAAACAACATTCTTATGACTTAAGTGTATTGTACGAAAAGAAAAGTAAATATACCTTCTTCGAAAACAAGCTTGTTATTTTCATAACGATTATCAAATTTCTCGGCAGACTGTTTAATTCAAGCTCGTGTGCTTCATAAATTATAGTGATAATTTTATTTTAAAAATTTTTGTTATCAAAGTGTCCACGAACATAAAAGATAAAATCAGCAAGTTAATTATATATCAACAGCCTACGACGAGACGATAAGCTTGATGAAACAGACGCAAAATTAATGAATGCAACTTGACGTAATGAGAAAGATTAATAAGCGCAAAATGGACGTAGAAATTTAAAGATAAACATTATATGCCAAAAATAAGGCAGTTTGTTAAGGAACATGAATTAAATCACTGTTACGAAAATAAATTGACATGACAAGGCATTAAAATGTGAGAAATTATGAACGTCATCAACTGTTTAATCTCAAATATTTCGTTACTATTTTAAAGGATATGTATTTCATATTTTAGAGCGACATTTGCTGACGTAATTGATGAATTTTCTTGTGACTTACTAAGCATGCAAAAATTATGTCTTTAAAATCTCTTAATCTGTGTCATTGATGGTGTCACGCAGTTTTATGAAGACAAAATGATCGGATAGATATTTTTTTTTATTGGATACAAATTCGTGTGCTACACATAAAATGAACATGCTGAATATTTTTATATCAAAACATTTTCTTCATCTTCTTTTCGTTAATCACAAGTGGTCTTTTTGAACTTATAAGCATGCAATTATTACAAATAACATAGCACGACACCTTCTGAGAACTACACAAAGTCATAATCGCTAAACTAAGTGCAGTATACTGTAAAATCATGTAAATTAGTATTCAAAAGCTTCAATACCAGTGTATTTATTTTATTTAGAGCACTTTAGAGCTTCTGTAAATGTATAATCTTGTATAATCATTCGTGAATATTTGTGAAAAGGTAGACAGCCAGTCAGGTGATAATATCAATTACTCTTAACGAGACAGAATAGTTCGGGGGATAATAATTCTGTGGATACAATGAATATTATACAGTCTATCATTTTAAATGACACAGTGATCATCGGTTAGAAACCTGACAAAAAAAATGTCGTCATGGTGTAAGGAATTCATACTCTTTAAACTGCAAGTAGCCACACAATCGAATCTAAGGATATTTGTAATTTTAATAGAGCTAAAGACTTCTTAAGGGAACTATTTAAAAAACGTTTTACTTTGTTCAAAAATTCAACTTTAAATTCTAAAGTAAAGCATGACTGTTTTCAAACAAGCATGCTGATACTTCACGAGTGTTTTTGACTCATAATATATTAAACAACATGTTTAAGTGTATTTGTTAAGTCAATTGGTCAACGACTTTATAGGATTCTAAAATAATCATCCTCATTGTGCTGATCACATCATTTATCACATTGTGAATTTTCATTATCATGTGATCTCAATGGGATTACGCTCAAGGCAGGGATACTGAGTCACATGAGAATCACTCGTGAACAAACTTGAATAATCTTGTAATAAATGTAAACAGTTCTTTTATTTTGTCGAGAATATTGCGATGATCAAGTTATGATTCCAATTTCATGCATTTAGAACAATAAAAGCTAAGTTAGGCACCTTTATTTTCCTTGAACAAATTGTAAACATAAAGCTTGAAGCCTCGCTGATTAGCAAGACATGTAATGAATCGTGCCTAATTGACCTTCATCTCATTCACATAACACATAATATAGAATGTTTGAAATTTCACTACATTTCTCTCTTAAAATTACTTTTAGAGCTGTAAAGAAAGTAAAAACAGATGATGAAAATAGATGAGAAAATGTTCACGGTTTTTGCAAAGAAAAATCTTTTTCCCGTCCCTTTTTGTTTTTGCGCAATTTGTTTCTTCTTCTTCTGTCGTTGCCCTTCTTCTTGTTCTTTAACCTTTTACGAGCACTTTGTTTATGCTAATGCACTTTTATTATTGTCTCATACATTGCGTGTACATTGAGAAAAATTAATATATTTTTTTTGTGTCGTGAAAGTTACACCAATAAGAATCAATTATATTTATATATATTTTTCTATTAGTTATTTTTATTTCTCCTTACGTAATTTGTTCACGAAAAGAAAGTATTAATACAAGAAAAACAAAATTTTCTCATTCTCTTGATTTTTGAATCCTCTTATCTCATTATTATCTCTTAAAAATGATTTCTAATTCCGTTGCTCATTATTATTCTTTTTTGACTTCTCATTTCATAGTGGGTTGATGAACACCTCACAGTCGGCGAAAAATTCGTCGCAAGCACCACCAACACCGGCTCAGTTGAATTCGACAATATTACAAAAGTATCAAAATCACCTCAATCAATTTCCACCAATTCAACATCAGCCACTTATAAGCAACAATTCAAAGACATTCGACGCTGGCAAAGTCAACGCTACTGTTACACATATTGAATTGGAACATCAGTCAAATTGCGACATAACCGCATTACTCAACATGTCTTGTCGTGGTCGGGCTGAGGCATTTGCTCGAAGTCTTCAGTCTCGTTTGAGGACTTTGGGAAGTCAAGTAAGTATTAAATTGATTGAAACTTTTTTTTTGTTGATTGTTAATTAATTTGATTTTGACATTTTCTGTACTTGAAGAAATTTTCACACTTAATAAATAGTCAAATTAAATTTTTTTTCTCGTCATTTCCTGTTTTTCTTTTTAAGGAACAAGAAACAGATGGAACAGATGCAGTCGATAGCTCATCAACTTGGGTAAATACCAATACAAACTCATCAGAAATCACAGAGATACAGCCTCGCATAAGTACACAGTTAAATGTTGAGACAGCGGATTCGTATTTTGATTTTGACATAGAATCGCCTGGCTCTCCAATTGATGAGTGTGAATATACAAGATTAATAGAAACAACAGGTTCAACACCACAAGAGCCTCAAGCTCCTGAGTCCGGATTTGTGTGTGCATCGCCATGTTCAACACTTGAAGGCGAATCTCGCGGCAGTGCGAGCAGTTCAGAGGTGCAATTCTTCGATCCAGAATCTTCCGATACCGGCACTGAATTCTATGACTGTCCACAAGCTGATTTTCAAAAAAATAGACCTCCTCGACGTATTTATCATCATTTAAGTCACAACAAAATCGCCATTCGCCCACCATCACCAATTATCCAATCGCCATCCAGTTCCTCATCATCGGCAACACCAACGAGTAAAATGAATGGACATGTAAGACTGTTAGAATCTGGTGATTCTTCCGAATCACTTCCTCCATCTCAATCCACAAGTTCGAATCTTAATTGTGACGATAGCAATTCAATGTCGACAGCAAACTCAAATTCTAATTCAACATTACAGGATGCAGATGGTGAAATGCCTATGAATGAAATTGCAGCAGAGTTAGCGGAAATACCATTACAGGAAAATAGTGAGGAAACGACAGAAACAGAAATTGTAAAAGAGATTGTTAATTTAGAACAAAATGGAGAAGTGGAAGTAGAAGATGGAGAGAATGGTGATGAGAGAGATAAATGTACTTTTCATAATTTTGATGTATGTAAAACAATATTTGTTAAATACGAAGAAAATGAAGATGCAGAGGAAATTATTTCACCAACACAAGAGGAGGAAGAGATATTTGATCAAGAAAAAGTTCTTAATGAGATAATTGAGATAGCAGAATCAAAACTTTTGGAACCGCCTGATATTACTGTGGAAAAAGAAGCATGTCCTGAGCCTATAATTGAAACTACAAATGAGGTTGAGGAGCCTGAGAGAAAGAGAAAAGATTCAGAAGAGTCGGAATATGAGCGACCACCAAGAGTGAGAAGATGCTCATCCTTAAAAACTGGTAAAACACCTCCTGGAACTCCAGGTAGGAAAAAGATTGTACGTTTTGCTGATGTCCTCGGCTTAGATTTGGCTGATGTAAGAACCTTCCTTGATGAAGTACCGAAAGTTCCCAAATCAGCGTATGAAGACTTGGATGTAACTTTACCAACACACTCAATACAATTGGGTCCGCCATTAGATAAAATTTTAGTGCCACTCTTTCAACAGCCTGGCTGTTTACCAAACTTTCTTGATCGATTACGTGATGGACAAGTATGTCTCGAAAGTGCGGCTGTTACAGATCCAATCAATCTTACAATAACGGGATGCGTACGTGTAAGGAATTTAGATTTTCATAAAAGTGTCCACCTACGCTATTCGTTAGACAGTTGGAGAACTTATTCAGATTTGACAGCGAGCTATGTAGAGAATTCATGCGATGGCTTCAGCGATAAATTCAGTTTTATATTATTTGGTAATTCAATGCAAGTTGGACAACGTGTTGAAATGGCAGTTAGATTTCAATGCAAGGGCGAACAATATTGGGATAGTAATTATGGCACAAATTATTCCTTCCAATGCTTGCCATGTAACACACACAAATCTAGTCCTATTTTGGACAACAGCAATGGTAGCTTATCATCAGATGAAAATACTTCATCTGTTTCAAGCAACGAGCCTGGATCATCGACTGGCGAAAATGCAGAAACTCTTGTCGATCCACTTGGGCATCGTCAATGGAGCAACACATTTTTGTATTAATCACATACTGTTCGTTCATCAAAATAATTTATTTATTGATTAATGAAATGTTATCGTCATGTTATAATATTGGGTGGAAGTGCTAATTTCCGACGCATTTTCACCTAATACATTTGTTTTATATATGCATCAAGTAGCACGAGATTGTGAAAAGTGTTCCTGTGCAGTCATTTTTCTGTTAAAGTAGATTAGCAATCGAAAGACGTTATCTTTAACTTTATCGTTAAATTGCAGTCGTAAAGTTAAACGATAAAACCCATTTATGGCACCTCCAAAATATAAATCTACCTTTAACGCCAAATATCTGCCAGGTGCAAGCTAATAATTTTGTGTCGCTCGTGTAGACAATATACAATGTTAAAGCGTTTTTATTTATTGATACTTCTATAGCTGAGTCTCTCTCTCATCCTTTCAATTATTGTTATTTTTAAATGAAAATATTTTAAAGAAACAAATGATTAATCATCGATTATTTTTAGTATAATTCTTTTTGTTATTTAAATGAAACTTAGTTATAATGAATGCAGAGAGTGCTTTATGTGAAAAGAAAACACTTAAAAGTATGTGATGAATGCTTATCTTCATTTTTATCAGAATCAAATAAATATGAGATGATCGAGCTTTCTAATTGCATAATATGAAGGAAAAAAAAATAAAATAAAAAAATGGTTCTTTAGTTCCTACACGATTATACAAAAATAATGCCAAAAATCTTCTGTTCAGTTCAAAAATAAATAAAAAAAAAAAGATTCAAAAACGTTCATTAATTTTAATAACTGTTATACACATTTTGATGCCATACATCTCTCCATATTTTCAATTTCTATATTTGCTGTAAGATCAGCCGGGATGATATTCAGAAGATTTTCGATGGAGATTTAATATTCTTGTATGGACAGGAGATTTTTTTTTTCTCAGAAAATCCAAGCAAATTTTCTTTTGATACACCCTTAATTATGGACAGATTGAATATGTCTTTTGGATCTTTCTGGTTTTTAAATTATTAATTAAGAGTCAAGCATTAAAAGAAAAATTTATCCAAAAACAGAACAGGTTGATGGAAGCAAAGAAATGATGACGAAATTCACGACAAATATTTCTAGCAAAAATAATAATTGTAGTAAAAGTTCTTCGGAATTGGAAATTAGAAGCTTTTATTGGTATATTTATTAAATTGCAGACCCTACTGTAGCTATATGACTCGAAAGCATGGGAATGTGGCTCGTGAATAAACTTTTTGTTTATGTATGATGGAAAATTGAAATAAAGTCGTCAATTTAAAGACACGAATTCGATTGTGAAGTTAAACCACAAACAAAAAGTTTAAAGGAAGATCCTACATGTATTTCTGGATATAACACAACTATTTTTTTTATCCCTAAGTTCTGAAATTAAGAACAAAAAAACAAGATTCTTTATCCGATTGGAAAAGCTAAAATAACTTACGGTGCGCAATAAAAAAATAAAATATTAATTAAATTGCAAAAATGAAAGGAGAACGAAATTTATATATTTTTGAACAAGAAAAATTTAAAAGAGCGCTTTAAGTGCGTCAAAGAAAAATAAAATTAAAAGAAAAAGAGCAAAAAGAAAATTGTCAAAAGGAAAAAAGCCAAGACTGAGACTGATTAAAAGTTTGGTTAGTAGTCTTAATCTGTTTTTAATCTGTTTTAGAGTGGAATCTGAGATATCAAGCCATACATAGGCGATTTTGTCAGCACGAGAGAGATGTCTTTAAAGCTTTGTAGGCACAGACCTGTTATCTGTAAGCCTCCAATATAATTTTGGGTTCGATTCCCACTAATCTCTCGAAATCATGACAAGCTTTCCTCAAAATAGCTGATTCTAGCAATAAACAGATTCCAAGATTTTTCTCTTTTAAAGAGTATCAAGCTATTAATTAGTTCCAGTCTGTAAAACTATATATTTATATTAGCAACTATTCAGAGAATGATTTAAAAACTGTTATCCTGTTCCTTTAAAAGTGAGACGTTACATTGAAATTTTCATTGGATTGTTCGATGACCAATCATAATGTGATTTATAAGGATATTTCGGAATTATGTATGAAGATCTGATCTTATAGTTGGATGAAGTTGATTTTGGGGGTATTTTTAACCATTAATTTTTAATATGATTGCATTTGAAAAATGCACTAGCTTTCATTATAAAGGAATAAACCTTGAAAAAGCTGTAAAATTATTGGTAAGAGTTCGTTTACACGTGAGATTCTTGAAGTCAAAAGTCGGAGTTTCCTAAAAACTCCTTAATTGCGATAGATGTCACTTGTGAATGACCTTTGTATGTACCCTTGGAAAAACTCATCCTTAGATAGAATTGAAACTAAGTTAAGGTATAAAAATGCCAATGGTAATTTGTTAAAAATTGACATTATTTATGGAACATAAATGAGCTTTTGAAAAGCTTGAATTGCTTGATTTGATATGATCAAATTTATAATATTAAGGATTAGGAAAAGGAATAGACAAATTTGGATTTGAAGGGGATGAACATGCTTGTAACGTTAAAATTAAAATTGACCATAAATGGAAATAAAAGAATCACTTTTAAAGGAAACACACTCGTTATAAAACTAACTCGTTATTATTCTTGTGCTGAAATTAAGGATTTGTCACTAACAAAAAATAAAATAAAATAATAAGCAACACAAAAAAGTAGAAAGGATTTTCGTAGTAGATCAAAAAGATATTCACCTATCATGGATTTTATTTATTAGTTTCCACACTTTTTATATAATTATCTATATTATGTTTAAAATTATAGAAAAAGTTTAAAGTGCGTTTTATGCCAATAAAAAAAAATATATATTACCATTATGATTATTATCAATTATGTTTATGTTATATAGTTTATATGTTGACGAGCGGCATATCGTCGCAAAATGGCTCTATTCATATTCCTGCGATATGCTGCTTAAGGTAGATAAAAATAAAACACATTTTAAAAATGCAATCACAAATGAGAAACTTATGCAATGAAATCGAAAAAAAAAATCTTAAAACATAAAAAAAAAATTATTACCTCAATGTTAATGGATTCAACAATGAATAAATTAAACAAATTACATTAATAACATGCGAATATGTCAAATAAGAGTTTATTCAGTGTTGAGTAATAAAAATTATTATAAACACAAATAAATTAAAGATATGAAAGAAATATTAAGAACAGCATTAATATTTGAAGTAAAATTGCATCTTTATCTAGTCTTACAACCTAGAAATAAACGATATCCCCTCATAATTGAAAACAAAAGATTGAATATACATGCTGAGTTAAGCAGAGTTAAGGATGATGTTGCATGATAACAATAATTAAACTCCAAAGCAAACATGGAATATGTGAAGTAACTGAAAATCGTGTGTAAATTATAATTTTAGATGAATAAAACCAGAAGAGTCTAAGAAGAAGTTATCTTGAAAAATAATAAAACTTATTGTTTCATTTTTCTTATTTTACAGGTGTCTTTACTTTTAATCATTCCAAGGTAAGGTCTGTCTGAAAATCAAGACCGTTCATGACGTTCGAAATTATAAATCAAACTCTTTATAATTGAACAGAAAATCGCTAAGATCTGAGTCACATTTACGACCAACCAATTTGAAACGCTTTATGAGTGACAATAAAGTTTAATCATAATTCATTTTATTATCAATCTAATTAATTAAAGTTGTAATTTCTTTTAGATACAATTTTTTCTCTCATTCTTTTATTGGTGGAAATGAAATGATGTAGGTATGTGGTATGTAAAAGATTTTTTTTTCTTTTTATAGGTAATTTTTAAATTAATGAACTTGCAGCCGGCTTCTTTATCATTGCCTTGTTTTAGACTTGAATGAACGATAGAGTTAAAAATTAAATTTACATAGAAAAAAATTGCGAGTAGCAAATAATAATTGTATAAATTAAAGCTATTCAATTCATTTTTTGCTCTGCAGCACGTTACTAAGCCAATTCATAGCGTCATCAAGTCCTTCTCCTTTCGTTGCTGATGTTTTAAAAATCTACAATGAAAACAAAAAAGGTTTTTAATAAAAATGTCTAGATAAAGAGAGCAAGAGTAATATACTTGAAATGTTCGATTTTTAAGTGCATCTAGTCCAAGTGCTTGATGTACTTCTGCTACCGATAGACATCCTTCGATATCTTGTTTATTTGCAAGTACTAATAATACGGATCCAGCAAGTTCTTCCTCTCTAAGCATATATAAAAGCTCATCTTTTGATATTCCTATTCTATCCTTGTCTGCAGAGTCAACGACATAAATAATTGCATCTGTATTACTGTAATAACATCTCCAATAAGGCCTAATCGATGTCTGGCCACCTAAAAAGTTGACGCTTACATAGAATTTCTTCAGTGGATGTTGTTTTAATTATATTTACCTAAATCCCAAACTTGAAATTTAAGATTTTTATAGGTCACTTGTTCTACATTGAATCCAATTGTTGGTATTGTCGTTACAACTTCACCGACTTGAAGTCGATATAATATGGTTGTTTTTCCTGCACCGTCGAGTCCTAAAATCAATATTCTCATTTCACGGGATCCTAATAGACCACGAAAATAGCTTAGAAGACCTCCTAAAATTGACATAGACAACTGTTAATTATAGTTATTTCCACTTTTATTGTGAATAATTTACATTCAAATTTTGTGACAAATCATCATCCACATCTATTTTCAATGTTTTCACTTACCCATATTGAATATATGCTTTTAAATATAATTGGAAGATTGTTATTCAATTGTTTATGTTTTTCAGCTTGTTTATGCACTTATAATTAGTCTAATTAAAGTAGAAAATATGTTTTTAATTATTTTTAAATATCAAAACCCAATCTTTCTGGATGTCTAGAAATTTGAAATTTCAAAAATCGTTGATTACAATTATTAATTAAGGAAATGTTTATTAATATTGTTTTGTAGCCCTAGCTTTTCATTACTATTTAAAGTTTACTAATGAATGGATTATAAAGAGTTGCTAGTTTTGCGCTAATTAAGGAGAATTTTAATTTTTTTATACTGTCAACAAATTTTTTGAACTTTTTAAATTCAAAAAATTACAAAACGTTTTGCATAAGCAAGCTAATAGTAATGTTTAATTTTTCAATTAATTCACTAGAGTTTAGTATAACGGTATAGATATTAAATTTAACAGAGTAAATATTAACAGTAGTGCTTCATCATTTAGAACTGTTATGTTATATTTAAGCTGAATTAAAAGTGTAATAAATCGTGCATCACTGACTTTGTATAGCGCATAAATCGTTAACGTTCTTTGGAATTTTGAATTTGTCGTCGTTCGAGCTGATCATTGTGATTTTGTTTTGACAAAATGCACTAGAAATTAATTAAAGTATATTAATTGTGTGTGATTCTTGCGATTAATTAAGTGGATCGTATGATAAATGTTTAATATCGTGTTGCATTTTGATCATTAGGAAATTTGTTCATGCGCAAATCAAACGAAAGAAAATCAATAAAATCGTGAAAAAAATCTTCGCGATTTCGTGTGTGAATTTGTGAAAATTAATGATTTAGCGTGTATAAATCACAAATTAAAATCAATGGAAGCCTAGTGAATGCTATATAGTATATAAATAATATAAGGGTTATAGTGAAAAGTGCATAATTTGTGGTGAAAATTGAGAAAATTGGAAAGTTTTTTCCATCATTCGAAAAAATTTGATATAGAAAAAAAAATTGCAAAAATCCCAAAAGTGATTTTTCTTTAACATTCATCCAAGCGACTGCCTCAACATATATTGAAATACAACATTAAAAAGCATTATGACGAAGGATAGATTAGCAGCTTTACAAGCGGTAAGTTTCAAGTTATTCACTTCATAAAACTGGGTAAAGTTAAAAGTTTGTAGTTCCAGTTCCTTTTTTGCGAATATCGAATAGATAAGAGGGAATCGATGGAAAAAAAGCTATAGGTTTAATTGTTTTCCTCGTTTTTTCCATTCGAAAAATGAGAGAAAAAGAGAAGGAAAATTTGTTTGAGGTCATTGTGAAAAGTGCAAAAACGACATGTCTGTGCCAAACTATGAACCCAAAAACTTTAAACTGCTTAAAACCTTGACCGCACCTTTGAAAAATTCATTAATTGACTTATGTCAAGTATTTTACGGTATGTGTCATCACAGTTCTAATTGTACGACGAGTTACTTACTTGAATGAGTCATAAAATTAAAGCTTACTGAAACGAATCGTAAGACTATTGTGGATGAAGCTAAGATCATTGTTTTTTGCGCAACGTTTTAAACTTTTTTTCTGAAATTCCCATTCAAAAACTTTGTCAAGGCTCGATTGAGCTTTTCTTCTTCTTGATTTTCTTGTCGCCTTGTTATTAGTCATTGTTTTATTATCTCAAAGCTTTCCACAGGTGATTTGATAAGAAATTATTATTTTTACACCTCATTATGACGTGCTCAATGTTTAAGACACATTAACAATTTTATTTATTAAAAGTGCAAATAGATTTTTTTTTTCTTGCTTGAATTCTAAATTTATATACAGCACAAGAAATGATTAACAGTGTGTTGTTAATTTGTGAAATTATGGAAATTGTATACATGCTCTTATCGCAAGACGGAAATAAAATGAAATATAAATGGGTGCCCTAAGTCAATGCGTCAATGTATTACTAACGAATTGTACTTGACTGATAATTTTTTTGTAAAAACCAAAAAATTATGAATGCTTTTAATCTCGCGTAAACTCAAGGCAAAAAGATTCTTTGACTGTGAGGCGTTACTATTGTGTAAATGTGGAACTTTTGAATATGTGCTATCAATGATTCTCTTTGAAACCATTTACTGCCATTTAACAAATACTTTAATCGTCATTGCTAAGTGAAATTCTTCCTGCATTATTTCACGATTTTTTTTTTGACACATAAATGTTATCATGATGTTAGCAACAATTTGACTAAAATGCTCCAAAATAAAAGTTTGATTGTCATCCAATCATAATTTTTAACACACAATTATTCCAGACTAGATTGCAAAACCTGACAATGACAAATTCCTTTTAATGCATTTCATTACGTGTCCGTTTTTTTTAAAAAAAATACATGCAGAATATACTCATTTGAATTAAATAATGAATAAGCATAGAAAGTCAGGAGCAAGTGAATAAAAAAAAAAGAAGAGATAGATGGTATTTTAATGAGATTGGGGTAGCTTCATTATTGAAAATGTGGGTTTTGCCTTTCTTTCTTTCCACTGAATCATGTTACTATACGAGTTCTTCCCACTTGCATATTTCTTTTTATCTGTTGCTACTTTTACACCATCATCAGCTATGAAAAGAATTTTTTACAGATATGAAAATTTATTCAAAAAAAAAGGAAACTCTCTTGTGAATTTGTACATTTATATCAGTCAAAAAAGAAGTTTATTCGCTCATATTTCAATAAATCGAATTCAATTTGTTGCAATTACGATTGATGCACGCGATAAAAATTCCATTCATTCATATGAGCCACAATAAGTGAATGAGTAATGGGTCGATAGATCAATTAAGTTTTTAGCGTAAATACTAGACATCTGATTTCATATTTCATTCCTGGACAATGTATGTGCAATGAAAGAATTTATGCAAACCATGGATGTGTCCAAGATTATACTCATTTGAATGCAGACATTTGTTGTCAAAAATGCTCCCTAAATTGTGGCAGTCGTAAAGTGATCATTACTTACAGCAATTAAGGCTATTCATTAAATTAAATGTTAACAGTTCATATTTAACTTGATTTTTATTTCTTGTTTATCATGTTAATATTTGTGAGACTGAGATTTTATTTCTGATACGATCAATTACTCAATATATTAAATGCAATGGAAACTGCTCACATGCACAACAATTAAAGACATCTAATTATAGCTCATGATTGAGAAAAAAAAAAATGTCGTCGATTACGTTATCTTCAATCTTTTCGTCTCATTCACTTCTTGAAATCCTTAACTGCATTCAGTAAATAATCTTTTGTTTGTCACTGATTTGATCTCCTAAAGAAAAAAAGACTTTCTCCTTTTATCTATATCTTCTTTTTCGTTCTTATTGTTATGAAATTCATAACAATGAGGAAATGGCATGAAAATAGGAAAAAAAAAAAAATGCTGATGAAAAGAAATGTTAAACCAGAGGCTTATGAATGATTAATTAATTACTCGAGCTGCCATACTTTATTCTACCCGTTTAATAATGACGCTCATGAGTCTTCCAAAATGCCCTTCATGAAAGTGGAAATGTGTAGTTAAACTATGAGAGCTAGTTATACCTCTACACATTGCATCCGTAATGAATTTTTCATTAAAACATTTTTACTCGATACACATTGAAGAATTGCATGTCACTGGTGAACCTTAAAGTATTTTTAAAGCTTTCATTTTCATTTAATAAGTTTACTAAAATGCACAATATTATTTTCATGTTATGAAAGAAAAGTGAAAGCTTTTCGAATGCAATTGACGTATTTTTTAAAATAAGCAGGAAAAAGAAAATTTTATTAGCAAAATCGATGAATTGTTGCTTCTTCTTACGTTACTATGAAAATAAGGAAATATCGAGAAAAGAGAAACAGCCCTAATGTGATATCAAAACATACCATTAGCCAGGGATTCACATACACATATCCCATTATCGACATTAAATTGGAATCACATAATGCATGAAATGTAAGAAAGATTGTTGCTGAGTATTAAATGTGTGAATAAAATAAAATGACATCATGGTTTTTATATAGTTTTGCATGAGAGAAGCAGATGTGATGCTGTGTTAATATGACAGTCTGAGTGGGTCATTCATATTTTAGTAGGAAATGTTCAAACGTTGCAATTGATTTGTGTTACTTTTTTTTTGGGACATTTTACGGAACATTTTTTTGACCTTCAGTTCAGAAAGAGAACAGTTCTGTCCGACAATATGTCTGTTCATGTAACATATTAGAAATTATTCGAATTATTTAATTACATTTATTTTTTTAAATAATATTTTATTTCGTATTTTTATATCTGAGACACAAGTTGAAATCTCTTTCGTTTGAAGTATTTTTGTATTGTTGAAATGTTGTTCCTTTTATAGAAAAATGAAACTTTCATGAAAAGAAGATATTTTTGTGGCAAATTAATTATTCGACTAGTTCGGTCATAAGCATTTTTTGATCATCCGCCTACAATGAGCAAATTTACTCGTTTTATTCTTTCTCTTCTCTTTCTCGAATCCAAAAATCCATTCTTTTGTACTTTTTGTTATTTTTCTTTAAGAATTCGAGAAAGAAGATTGGCTCATAAGCTACCAAAACATTGAATTTCTTTACACATTTATTTGCAATAAAAAAAAAATTCAATACTGCGTGACGCAATAAATTCGATCTCCAGCTCTTATTCTCTCATATATATATTTTTCACTTTGCAGTAGGAAACATTCAATGAATGAATTTATGTAGATGTGAATGAATGAAAATAAAAAATGACAGAAGGACGAGTGTTAAAGAAAAGAATGTTGTGCATGCGAGAAGGAAAATATTTATAATATATTAAAGTATTTCGTTTCTTGTTCTATGGTACGAGAGTATGAAAATGAAAATGAAAATGTCATGAGTCTTACGAATAATGAAGATTCCAATGTAAATGAATTTCATTTATTGTCGTCTCGTGATAAAATTTCACCAACTTTGATATCGAGATATTTTTCAGTTTTGTATTAGCAAAGTTTTTCTGATGGGAATGCTAATGAAAAACAAAAAGCTTTTTCGTTTTTATATTTTTTTTTTTCCTCTTGATTCGCAGAAATGTAATTTTCATAATGAGATGTATTCTCAAACTTCTCGCCAACGTCCATGATATAAAACAAAATTCAAATTACTATCATCATACAATTCTGACAAAAAAAAAGACTGTCGATAACAGTGATTACTGTATCAGGGTATGAAAATTAACTTCTTTATTCTTCATTTATTTTTCGATACTCTCCTTCAATGTTTCGCTTGAGATTTTCTGTGATTAAGATAAATGCTGAAATTTGATTAAGGATTACATGCATGACCAATAATTTATTCCCATTCTTCCTTCCGGTTGCAATTTTCGGAAAAACTTTTTCTTATTCTGTAAAATCACCCTAAATGCTTTAGAAACAAAAAATATTTCTTTTTTAGTATCATAGGTAGTTCTCATGTTTATCTCGGGTTTGTCGGTCTAGTCTTACGAAAAAGCTTTAATGTATTTAATAATTTATCACCTTACGATTTTTAAACTAAACTTGAAAAAAAAAATTCAATTCTTCCAGCTTTTCTTTTTAAACTCCCATTTCACGATCCCTTTTACGGTTTCTATTCCTTTAGTATTCTCATGATACTTCTCAAACAAATTTTTAAGGATGTGTACGCATGTATGCTCAATGTAAGGGAAACAAAAGTTTTCAGTCGCTTTAATAGGAGAAGTTCTGTATAGCATGAATAAAAACAAAAGGGTCGAGTGAGATGAAGACTGAAAGCTTTTATAGATATAAAGATATATATTCGAAATAGTATTCATTCTTACGGTCGGATGTAAGGATGTAAATTGCAAATACGAATAAAGAGATTAAGTGTTTAGTTGGATAAGATGCTATGCATTTGAATTTTTAGTATATTTAGAAAAATCTTAGTGTATACTTTTCAATGGTGTATATCGATCTCGTTTCTTTTGACTCTATGACAGTCTCTGTCAAGCAATTTACAGCGGAACGGATGACAATAATCCAATTAAAAATCCGACCATGAACTTGGATTTTATGAGCGATTTTTAAAAATAAAATCAGGTTGGTACTCTGAAAAA